GACGAGGCTACTTAAGATCATCAGTTTCTTGTCAACAGTTTGGCTTGGTAGCATCATGCTTTGAAAATATTGCTGCCACATCTAGCCTGGTGCTCCTACTATATATTTAGATATTCTTCATAAAATTAAAAGAATCTGCAATACTTTCGTCCTGACCTGGCATCCCCACTTTCACTCCCTTTCCTATCGCTGTATTGTACCCCCCCTGTATCTTTCCTAGATACATTTTCATAGTAATTGTTCCGATGTACTTTCCATTATGGTACCTAGACTTTATGAATTTGAGCGCAGTACTAAATTGGTCACAAGTTCTCATCAATTTACAATTGAAATAACTAGGTATAACCGTAAGTTCTATGTTAGCAGTTTCTTATATCTATGCACTTTTAACTTGTAGAAATCTCTTCCGGCTTCTTGCTTTGGTGTTCAACAATTTAAATGCAATGCCAATCGTTATCTCTGTCTTCTTAATTCTTGTTCTTTATTGTCTTCTCTCTTATATAGTAGTTTTTCTCATATACTGTAACAGTAACCTCTTGCATCCTAGTGGCTTTATTACCTTACTTGGGATGAAATGATAAAAAAAAATGATGGAAAAAAATATTCCTTGCGCAATGTATCCTGTTTTCAACTTCTTTATCATCTATACTAAATTTGTTTAACTGATCCAGACCCCGCGCTATTGAAAGTCTTTTAGAATTCTTCAATTCTAAATCTGAATTTTTATAATGGATTTTTGTTAGGTGCAATCACAACTTTCATTCGAATCACATGGTTTCTGTTTCCGAAAGGGTTTTGAGTACAGAACGTTGGTCCTTTTGTTCATGGACATTATTATACCAACTATGAACACCTATGTCATCAGCAGTGGGTTCTAGACGGAAAACAAGAGCGTTTTTTTTTCGCTCAGAGTAGATGAGGTAAAGCATATTAAAATGATATACGCTCATTTTTTATACATGCGCTTATAAACGCGCTATGTATAGTCTAAAAACGATTGAATAAAATCAGAGACTTATTGTTGTACTCCTGACGTGGTTTGACTATGTCAGGAGTACAACAATGAGTCTCTGATTCGGTTTTGGTGTCTTCACCAGAAATATAAGAATTTTGATCCATATAGTTCTTCTATCAGATTAAAACGGTATATCGTGTCTCCCCTTGGTGTATCCGGAATGAGAAAACGCAGTTTCTATTGAGGTGATCATTTGCTGATGAATAGTCAACCTAACAGGTGAACGATTTTCTGTTTGTATATTACTTCAAGTACTTTTTTTAACTGCTTGGTAGGTTTGATTTATTTGGGAAGGATATTGCAATAACTCGGAATGTATAATGAAAGCAAACCGCCTGCATACGGATATAAAATTAATTCAGTTAATTAAAAAAAAACAGAAATGGGCATGAGATAATGATGAGCCTTCTCAGTGGACCTATTCGACCTTTACAGTGAGTTGATTGTGAAAGAAGTGGAAATCCTATAAAGATTCATTATTGGTGTCCACAATCTTAAAAATATAAGATATGCAGATGACACAGTGTTGATAGCAGACACGGAAAGTACACCACAGAAAGCAAAAAAGGAAAGTTAGAAAAAAGGAATAACTATCAATTGTAAAAAGACTGAACGTATGGTTGTTAAGAAAAGTAAACACTCAGGAGACACAATTCAAAGACATCAAAATCCATCAAGGAGAAAAATAAAGAAATATCCATGAAGTGTTTTAACAGAGGACAGAAAATGAAATCCAAAGAAACATTGGAATAACGAAAGATGTCTTTCAAACGTTAAGCAAAGTATCAGGTAAAAAGAAAATTTTGTCAGAAACTAAGAAAAGAGTTCTGGACTATTATGCAGTACTGGCCCTCCTATTTGTCAGTGAATGTTGGACAATCTCTTTACAGCTAAAGAAGAGAGTTGAGGGAGCAGAAATGTGTTTCTGCAGAAAGATGCTGAGAATACCATGCACGGAACATACAAACAACGACGAATTTTTATCGAAAATGGAAACATAAATGGCATTTAGACATAGAATCAATGGAAATTCCAAGGGTACATTATGAGGAGGACGGAAAAAGCGACACGGAAGCATTCGAATAGCGAAAGATATCTCCCCAAATTTAAGCAAAATATCAGCAAAAAGGAAAATTTCGTCAGAAACTGAGAAAAGAGTACTGAACTGTTATGCAATATTAGTCCTCCTGTTTGGCGGTGAATATTGAACAATCTCCTTACGGAGTTGGGGCAGAAGAATTATCGTTCTTCAGAAGGATGCTGAGAATACCATGGACTGAACATGCAAACAACGACGAAGAACATAGAACCAGAAAGAGACAATGAACATTTCAAGGGCACATTATGAGGAAAGAGGGCTTTGAAAATTAGACACTCACAAGACATATCGAAGGTAACCTAACAGAGTAAAACAGAGAATAACCTACTTAACAAGCTTTAGTAAATGGTTGTGGGACATAGCAAAGCAAAAAACACTGCTAAGAGCTACAAATCACATGAAGTGGAGAGTCATGATCGCCCACATCCTGGAGGGAGCCAACAGAAGAATTTATTTCAACGGAGTTATTTGATGATATGATATTTATTATTTATTCAAATGTAATACACTCCAAGGTAAACCTATACAAAGAATTATTTTCATCTATAATCTGATTACCTTAAGGGTAGCAGTTCTGTCATGGGAAAAGCGAACATGTTAGAATACGAAAAAATAAAATATATTAATTTTATATTATAGGATAATCAAGAAAAATAAACTAAAATAGAACTGAATTTATTGCAAACCAGCAACTAAACATTTTCTAAAGTGCTTTTTATTGCATTTGGATTGCCTACCTTCTATTAACGATAGAATATTTCATGACAGATCATAAAGACCAATTTTGAAAGCTCACAATATTTTTTTTTCCATTGATTAATTTTAAATGCTCTGTGACTTCCGAAACCAGAATAAAAACGGGTATTAAATTTGCCCGTAAAAATTCTCACAGCGTGATACTGGCGAAACTGTCGAAACTAATTCCTTTGAAGGTTGGCGTATTCACTTTCATCTCTTTATCTGAACTATCCCTCATATTTCAACGGCTTGTGAGGGGTATGTAAGCGATAACGTTCTTGTAAATTTCATTTGAAAGCTTCGTATAAAGTGTACAACATATTCATTTATATCGACCCGTAAAATTTCGGCGTTTTGGGAATTTACTAAAAAGGATAAAGAAATTCAAATGTATTTAGATAACATTTATCAAAAATGAAGTCACCTTCATTTTCAACGCCTTCAGCACAACGGGAAGGCAAATTTTCGATTCAATGTTTTAAGAAATCTGTGTTTTTCACGAAAAATATTTGAAAGAAGGTTTTCGAATTCTTTGTTTCTGAATGGTCTATCTTTTATTAAATGTTCTAGTGATCGACACAAGAGTATATCTGTCTGTGCAAAATCTGGTGAGTATGGAAGGTATGGAAAAGCCTTCCATCCAACAATCTTATTTTCTCTTGGATGTTTTGCAGAGCGTACTTTTGCGTCATGCTGGAGTATAACACCTTTTTATGTTTAGCAATGCAGGACACTTTCGGTGTAATGTCCCGATCAAGTTTCTAAATGTTCCTTCCGTGTTCCGTTAGTTCGTACTGGACGACACCTTTTACGTTTCACGAGACACAAATCACAGTGCATGGAGTTCTGGTTTCATTGTTGGAAATGGTTCCTTATTTGAGAGATAACCACTGAGTTCTTAGATTTCTGTTGACATGTTTGGTATTCATGGGTAAAAGACTGCTGCAGATATTGCAACGTTGTTTTCGGTTCTCATCCTGTGCAAATCTTTTCCAGTTAAACTCTGGAATGTACTATAAACAACACAGTATCGAATAGAAGAGACGATGAACTAATTCCAAACGCTACGTCAGGCGATGTTCTCCTTAGATAAGCCACTGACGATATGACAACTTTTACGATTTTAATGGATAGGAAATACGTTACGTGATGTAACTAGCTCACTAAAAGTTGCACAGTAGAGAGGTGCCTCTCTAATATTGCTTTAAGAATACGTCTATATAGAGAAATGTCCTCACTAATAACTGATAAGGAAAGATCTGTCTAGATCAAAAGAAAATATAACCTGTAAAAGGAGATAAGACCTAATATGAAAAGCATAAATCGACTTTGCAGGATTTTCGGAGGATTCTTTTTGGTATGGAATGACATCAGACAAGGGTGAGCAAATATAGGAAAAATGGATAAAACTGAATAGAGGCAAGTAAGCCAAATTTTCCTGAATAAATGATAAAAGACGGGATGTTCAAGTGGCGTAAGAGATAGAATCTTAGAGTGAGAAATCAGAGAGCCAAGTTCGAATTCAATTTGTGTAAGTTACATTCACTTATGCGCCAATACACTTGAGAAAGCTATGAATCCATCAATTCTACCCCCAACTTAATTAAATAGTAGGATTTGTGTCTGATAAAATCATTATCTTCAGAAACTGATAATGCAATATGCACTCGTCAAAAAATATTCTTACATTTTAAAACATGTAGCAGCTTTAAGAGTTGATAAGCCGCAGTTAATATTATGAAGCGATTTCCTTCATTCTTGCAGCCCCAGAAATGCAACGATCTGGTGAGTTAAAATTTTTCCTCTAAGTTCTATCACAACAAGCCTCAGTTCGTTTTGCTTTTCGAACACTAATTATCTTCATTATTTGACTTGATATCCTCTGGCGCAGGGGCAGATTCCCCGGCACTGGGCGACTTTCTCGCCTCTAAAATTAGCAGGACCGTTTACTCCACTTCAAGCCAAAAGTTAATACCATTGATTCTATCTCATCTCCTATTCACAACTTAGTGACAGGACACTTTCCTCAGCACACATGAGCTGCTCCAATCAGAAACACACTCCCAATATTGTCAGGTATCCCTAAGGAGTAGTAGGAATTTTGTTTTAAATTGTCCCTTGCGCACCCACCAGTCTGCTGGCATGTCACGTTGAAACACCGGTTTCCATACGATCACCGAAGTTAAGAAATGTCGAGCCTGGTTAGTACCTAAATGGGTGACCAGTTGCTGAAGCTTGGATCTACGGGTGGTGTAATGGATATCTTGAGCGGAGTTCCAATTCCAGTTGGGGGTTGTTATATTCACTTAGCCGCAAATACGTTTGAGAAAAGTATGTATCTACATTGTAGTAGAATTTGTCCTGGTAAAAATTATTATCACCAAAAAGAACTTCTTAAAATAGTTAAATAACGGGTTGATAGACCGTAAAAAACAAGTCAATGAGAAATAACAAAATATATTTCTGAGTTACAGGATTTGAATAATTTTGTTTTGGGTTTTGATTTTGTATATTCGCCGCTATTCAAGATTGTTACGGCTTCCGATGTAAACAACATGATTTTTTTTTTTAATGGCAATATTCTCAAGAAAAAAATAAATACAGAGTAAAAGTGCCTGTCGGGTCAGTTCCGACTTGACGAATACTAATAGAAAATAGTTCCTAATGAAAAACATATAAGAACGCTTGTTATTATGCAAAGAGATCGAAATAAATTTCTTTTTATTTGATTTTTTTCACCTATTATTTGATTTTTTTCCTTGTTTTTATATTTGTACGTTTCTCTCCATTTTTCCTCCATTTTCTTTCGTTTACTATTTATTTTCTTTTTCATTTCTCTTTTCTTCTTTTACGTTTTCTTTTTTTCTTTATTTTTATAACTTGTTTTTACCTGTCTCCGTTTTTTTCTGTATTTTTTCTTTTTACTTTCTTCTTTGATTTTCTTTACTTTTCTCTTTCTTTATTCTCGATTTTCTTTTCATTGTTTCGTCTTTTCTTCTTTTCTTTTTGTCTTTCATCCCCTTTTCTAGTTTTCTCAGTTATGGAGTGTGAAAGATTGCTGACCTCTAACATATTCTAAAGTGACAAAAACACACTTATATGCGAGCGAATATCACACTTATGCGCTGTCACGTACCATTAATCGTACTTTTGATTGGTGATACTCTGGCAATGACCGCAAAAGGCTTGAGGAAATCGTCACTGATTGAAAGACTGATTGATTTTTTTCGTACGAGGTCGGTCACCGTTGTTGTAGAAAGTGTATAAGATACAGATTTATAGCTATTATTATCTGATCTTCAATGTGAGTGCGGGTCAGATAGAGTGGGTCAATGAATGATCAATAAGTAAAGAACGGAATTTGTTGATCGAAACATCTCAACTGCAAAGTAGTCGAATAAGTTTAAAAGTAAGAACTCTAGCTCCTGTTGAACTTAATTTTTCAAGATTCATTAACAAAGTAACTATTACCGCGTCCAGAACGTAATGGCGTTTCCTGACGGATCATATAATTCTACGTGTTCCCTCGTTAGCCCGTATGTTACTCCTTGTCAGTACCTCATGAATAATGGACTATTCCGTTTTGATCGTGAGGAAAGACTTAAAAAGGATCCATCTGAGGTTCAGTGAGAAAAAGAAAACCAGAAAAATGAAGGAAAGAACAGAAAAGATAGAAAAATACAATAGAAGAAGCGATAATGTAGTTAACGTTTACTTATGAGATCGATTAATTGATTCTTTTTTTACAATTTGTCAACAATTTGCAGCCAGAAAAAAATTAGATTATATTTTCTTTCTTTTGAAGATAATAATGATTTAAGAATAAAAGTCCTAATAATTACTCAATAGTTGATCAAGTGAAGATGTGGGATTAAAGAATGAAGATATGGATACATAACTTTCCAAACAGTATTTGCACGTAAGTGAATAACACAAACCCGACTAGAATTGAAACTCGTCTATCCGAATTCTAGTTCCGAGCTGTTACCCTTTACACCAACCACGCATCCAAGCTTATAGCACCTGGTATTCTTAAGCAGTAACCAATCTATGTTCTAACTAGCATTGGCAAGGCTTAACTTCGGAGTTTATACAAGAACCGGTATTTCAACGTGGTATGACCGTAAGCCTTGTTTTGAGTAAATATTTAATAATAAAAAAATACTAAAATGTAATACAAAATTAAGCAATAAAAAACTTTCAGAACGTCATATGACAAAAGTACGGCAAATGAGCGTGTAACATTTCAGACATCAACTCCTCGTAAATTTCCAGATTTTTAAATTTGTACCCTCTTACTTCTTCAAATAATGGCCCTCATCAATACTTATGATAGTGTTGCAGAGTAGTTTTCACAGTAGAGGCTTGTATTTCAATAAGTCGTCCTAAATTAGGTTCGACATACAAAACGTTAGGAACTTGAAAATAAGAGTTAAATGACGCAGCAATCTAGTTGTGATGGTTGATACTTCAATGTCCGACATCGAATGACTCACTCAACACTACTGAGCCCAACTGGCGACCGCTACTACTACTACTACTACTACTACTACTACTACTTATTATGTGTGGGAGAGTCTATTAATAATAGAATAGGTACGTCAGGTATAACAGATAGTTATCATGTTAACGTCCTTGAGATCAAATATTTTACGGTACAACTTCAATTTAAATTGTAATTGATCAGAAAATTCAAATAGTGAAACTGTGAATATTTTACGAGTACTACGAGCAGAATATTAAAATATAAAATGAAAATTTATTAAATACGAGGCTAATCAAAATATGTCCTAGGTGATTGAACACATATCTGCCTAAGTATACGAATGTCCTTCGTTACTATACTATAAAGATGTTCGTGGAATTAATAAGCTGTTAGAAGTGCTGAGAAATATGTCTAATCAAAATACGCTCTATGTAACTGGAAGCAATCTATATTTATAATTCTCAAAATGTGTGTGTATGTATGTGTGTGTGTGATCGGATGTTGTTTATACGTTTCCATCCTTTTTCGATGATTTTTTTTTTTTTTTGATAGATAATTATTCCGTGCAGGTTATGAGTCCAAATTCTCAGGGAAAAATTACAAACTTGTAGGTGAAAATTGAAAAAAAATGATTTTTTACACTTTGCGCAAAAAACAAAGGCAAAATTCAATGTCTGTAAAAACAGCTTACAATCAATTTAGAGATGTAACCTAACACAAAAGATTATTAGAATTATAAAAAAAATTATATTGTAACTAAAAATTATCGTATATTATTATTATGACGGGCCATGGAAGAGGTTCATTGCTTGCAAGATTGAGAAAGCCAAAACGGCCCTTTTCAGAGCCACCCCCCCCATTCAAATTGTTAACACCACGAGTTGGGTATGTGCACCCACTTACTTATATTGATTTTCAGGTGGACTGACTTTAAACTTCAACTGCTCCAATTGAATGGCAAAAATTCCCAGTAATGAAATATCCGACCGAAGACGGTTTATACTGCTAGTTTTACCTATGTATAAAATAAATTCATTAATATCTCTACCGTAAAAAATCATTATTCTGAAAAATAATAAATTCTCGAAAATCTTATTGGTAAGCTCCTGAAAGGTTCGTTTACTTCTTTGATGTCCATTTGTCTTTAAGGCTTTTATCTCCACGCCGTAACTTGTAAGACCAATGCAAAACCGTATGATCAGGAAACAATCGTTATTCAAATGCTTCGTCGGATATTTCGCAGACGTTGAGTTTACTCCTTTTGTTTTAAAATTATAATCTTAACAGAAAATTGGTTTCTGTTTCTGGACTAAAGTGCTTATTTAAAAGGCCTGGGGTTCATTCGAGGTAGATGGCTACGTTAAGAGGCAGTTTATACGGATATGAGAGGAAGATTACAGTTAGCCCTAGACTTGAATAGGTTAAGATTAGGAGACGATTCCAGAGAGCTGTTGTTCGCTGGAAGAAGCAGTGCGAGTAGAAGTTATTTCTCATTGATGGAATATGGAGGAAATGTGGGTTGTTTGCTACAATATAAGTGACATGTCGGGTCCTAGCCATGAAGGTTATACCTGGCGCAGCCAAGGAATATGTAATTCGTTCAAGCGCACTCCATGGAAGTAGCGATAAAGAAGTGAGAGACTTGGTACATCTCGCCTGTGAGAGAGAGAGAGAGAGAGAGAGAGTTTGGAGGATAATTCTACAACAAGGACTCGGAGATGCTTTTAAATTCTAACTAGACTGGAAATTGAGGGCTGGGCAGCTTCTGCCCAAATATGACAACTACTCCATTTTCAGCCCGATCTGTCTCTTATAAAGGCAGAGTATAGTATGAGGAGACAAGTACTCACTGGCGAGATAGAGGGAGCCGATTACTTTACCTGCATCTTTAACAATGGATTGTATGTAAGAGTCCCACTTGAAGTTGGACCACGATTCCCTGTTAAGGTCCCATGTATGGGGAAATAGTTAATCCACCAAACTAGGAGTGTAAGATAACAGTTAACCCTAGACCTGAACAGATTAAGATTGTAATGCTCAAAGAAACATTCTCTTGGGAGTTCGTTCCACAGAGTATTGCTTCGTATTATTTAGCTGTTCAAGTGGAACTTACTTCTTACTGATGGAATACAGATGGAATGTGGGTAGTTTGATACAATTTAAATTGTATGGTGGTTCCTAGCCGTGAAGGTTAGAACTAGCAGAACCAAGGAATACAGTTCGTCCGAGCACTTTCCATGGAAGTAGCGAGAGAGCATGGACGGGCTTGCCACATCCTGCCTATGAAAAAGAGGTTGGATGATGCAAAATAATTCGTCGTCAATACGGATTCAGAGACGCTTTTGAAATCTATCGTGACCAGAAAATGAAGATAGGTAGCTCCCGCCCAAATATGGCAAAATTACTCCACTTTCGGCCTGATCTAGCCCTTGTAAAGGTAGAAGATAGCACGAGGTATTTACTGGAACGGTACAGGGAGCCGATTATTTTACCCTCATCTTTTTCGATGGATCGTATATACGAATTCTACTTGAGGTCAGATGTTTGTTTAGGGTCCAATAATTTCTCAACTGCACGGTGCCAAGGGGGTCATCCGTTCATCGTTACTGGCTGGTGGTAGTTCGCCGAATCAACAACAGATTTTTCCCTGGTTTCTTTTTTCTTATTTTATTTTTAGGTGGACGTAGTCGTTGTTTCTTGGAGGAAACGAGAAAGAGAAAGAGAGAGAGAGAGAGAGATCAAAAAGTCAGCATGCTCCACGTGTTTCCCTGCTGAAATCAGGTGGATGTAAATTAAATCAAGCGAGGAAGGCTTAGACGAGCATCGGAGCTATTGACGAATAGAATCTCTAATGCTGAAATCGTACTGCCTCGTTTTGATTTTCTTTTTTTTTTTTTAGTCTTATATCAAAGATTTGATAAAAAAAAATCCATCACCAACATAATTCAATGCCCCAAATGTTCAAGCCATCCTCATTCAGTTGGGATCGATTCGAATCAAAGTTCAGATCAGTGCCTTACGTTCTGGAATTGTATTTGCTGCAATTACCGTTTTATCATCTTTGTCGAGCTTTGTAATATTTCCTTCTTTTTTTTTCTTTTACATTTCATTGATCAATAATTTAAAATATAGCACTTAAAACCTCTATATTGTTTCTTTTACGCAAATATGAAACCTATTAAATAAAATGCCCTTCTTCTTCTTCTTCTTCTTCTTCTTCTTCTTCTTCTTCTTCTTCTATCGTTCCTTATTCTATGTGCCGTGACCCTTCAGAATGTTAGTGATCAGGTCTCTCCATCACTTCTTGTCCTTTGTGGCTCTTAATACACTTTGGCTTTTTTCCATCTCTCCGAAACCCTGCCCCGCCATCTATTCGCTCAAGCTCGCCAGGCAGGTTATGTGTGGCTTTCCTCTACCCCTCTTTTCTTCAATCTGTCTCATGAGTATCAAATTTTCTAAGCCATCTTTCCTCATTATATGCCATAGAAATTTCAGTTGTCTCTTTTGAAACACGTCCCAGATATCTAAATTGTTGTAGTTGTTTAATTTTGTTATCTCTAACTTGGGCTCGTAGGTCTGCTCCATTTGCTAACAAACAGGCATTCTGTCTTCTTGCGATAATTTCTGAAAAATCTAATATTTTAAAGATATCTCGCTCTTCGTCGAAACGCGTTATTTTATTCCAACCATTTTCCAATCAATTTTTCTATTGCGTTTCATTGATTATTTAATTAACTTGCATTGGTTTGAATTCTCATCGGAATTTGTAATGTTCTCTTTAAGAAAATATGGAAAACTAAGAAATAAAACGACATTACTTTCTGAACAATATACATCTAAAAGTTGTTCGCTCATCGTCTAAACTTTCTTTTAATTTTGGTAATTGCCTGTTTTTATTAATTCGTTTATCGTCCAATCAGATTTTCTTTTGCAATTTAATAATTATTATGCGCTATTTAATGCGCCAATCTGGTAGATTAGACTCGGAAGGTAGATCACATACTTAAGAAGCATTGATTATTATTTTAATCTGAAGGGGTTAAAAAATCATCATAACATTTATTTGTGTAGCGGATTAATGCAAATTTAATTAACCCTCTACTTTGTTTTTTACTTCAACAAATTTAACAAAAAGCAAACAACAAGTAAAATAACGATATGAAACAAATCTTTTGGTTAACAAGGAATATTTTCATATCACACAATTAAGGTACAAAATTGTATTGTATAAGTTGTTTAAAATTACTTCAAAGTCCTTTCCTGCTTGGTTTAAAGTGTTAACGAACGCATCATGTGAATGATTAAGTGTTGAGAAATTGCATGTGCAAAAATGGGCAAGTTTCACAAGTTTAGTAAATTTATTAACCAATCGATTAAGTGGAATTTTTTGCGTATATTTACAAGACAGACAAAAAGTTTGTGGTCATAACTTTACAAAATAACTTGAAATGAGATATGTTTGTATGAATATTAAACTGTTTTTTTGTTGTTGTTTTTAGTGTTGAAGTTTGTAATATTGTGCTCTGTGTATAGTTGTCTCTTTTTGACTAAATTCGTCACTTGTTGTTCAGTGTTGAGTTTATGTAGATGAGTGAGTGTATTTCGCAAGCTGTGCTAATGTTAAATAAAATTAACTTTATACTAAGAAAATGAGTATCGTGGATTTGTGTCTTGAGCTGATAAATTCTTAAGTCTCACTGTCGAAGTTTAATGAAGCTTCATATTTATTGATGTTTCAGGTCACGTAGGAGGCTCCAAATATGTTGACGCCAATTTGTATCTACTAAGGATACACATTAGACCGATAAACGCGTACAGCGTTAAGAATGTGTGAATAATATGATTTTTATGTTTATTAGCCAATCAGAAAGCGTTGTTAGTTACTGCATTCTGGGGCAGGTTTTAATGGTTCGTTTTGCTACTTTGGGTAGCTACTTCGTTCTGGGCCATTTTTAATGGGTTTTAAAAACAAATGTAAAAGTCTAATGCTACACTTGTCCTTTTATGAAAATTTAGCAATCTAAGAAATAAAACATGATTACTTTCCGAACAACCTCATCGTTTATCTTAAAATTGGTTCTCACATCATAGAATTCTTTTGTTGCTTTAATGTAAGTAGATTGCAATAAACCTTCCAGGTCACAGGAACCCTTTCGTGATCCAGTTAATTTGATTTGACATGAGGCGAATACCACGAAGCAATTGCATTTGATTTGTTTCATTTGGGATACGTGCTTAAGCAGTACACTCGGACAATCGGTGAGCGTACGGATTTAAGTGAGGAGCCAGATTAGAAAAGAGGCCTTAAAAAGCCAAAGAAAAGGCAGTGATGGAATTACAGTGTAACCCGGATATAAGAGACCCGGATATAAGAGAAACCCGGATATAAGAGAGATTTTCTCTGGTCCCAAATTAGAGCCTGTGTTAGTGTATATAAAATAGACCAAACCCGGATATAAGAGACTTCTTCTCCGGTCCCGACAACTCTCTTATATCCGGGTTACACTGTATTAGGACGATGTCGGTCAAACTTTTTTTTTTGTTGCTGCTATCTGGGTAGCTAAAATATTTTGAACTTAATGAATTTTTTTCTTGATTGTTACATTTGCGTAAATGATACAAAGTAAATTACGTGGAATATTAAACAACTGCAGATTAAGATAACAGTCAATGTAATGCAGAATAGAATGTTGATTCCACGAGAAATAGAATCCAAAATAGACGATGTAAGTAGAGTGCAATAAACCTTCCATTTTATTTCATATGACGTGAGACCACCAAACAACTGGTTTTGATTTGTTTCATTTGCGATACGTGCTCGTGCGGTGCAGTCGGACAGTCGGCTCCGATTTTAAAAGAATGGTTAAGCGACCAATACGTTGCCTGCGGCTTGATGGGTTAAGGTTTTTGAGTTTACTCACCTACATTAAGTCTGAACGTATGTGTCAGGGAAATCTGGTAGTGACCCATGCGCAAATCGAACATCGATTTCGACGGCACCTCTATGAAAAGTGTAAAAATTAGAAATTTTTAACTTACAAAAAAACTAAACCAGTCAAACCAATGCTATTTGTCACCCGACTTTAGTAAATTTATTAACCAATCGATTAAGTGAAATTTTTTGCGTATATTTACAAGACAGGCAAAACGTTTGTGGTCATCCGGCATTTCTTTACAAAATAACTTGAAATGAGATATTTTGTAATTTTTAAAGTAAAAGATAAAATCCCAATAACAGAAGTATAATTTCCTTTTATTTTGATAAAAACTAAGCATTTAACGATAAAATTTAACAGACAATAGCATCATATATTGTTTCTGGCTTAATTATTGCATTAAAATTCTTGGCATTGCTTCCAATAGTTTTTGACAAAAAAGTAGATGGCAGAATTCCCAAGCATTCTTTAAAGCATTCTGAAATAGCTCACTCTCACTCTTTCGGTATTCTCTTCGAACTTTCCTATCCAGGTCATCCCATACTCATTGGGAGGGAAATCAGGAGATTCAGGCGGCCACGTTTGTTTTGTGTTTTTTTTTTTTTTTGTGGGGGTGGGTTACTCGATGTAAGAATGATTTGGATCGCTATCTTATTGAAAGGTGATTTATTTCCAATTATGCGTAAACTAGGTTGTATGACATATCTCTGCAAAATTGTATGATATTCTTATTGTTCTTTTCTCATCATTCTCTGAATCAAATCCTCACCGCTTTTAGTAATCCCAAAGGTCTAGTGAGTGGTTGATGGTGAAAACAAAATATAATGTTTATCATACAAAATATTCATAATTTAGCAAAATGTATTGTGGACAGACGAATTGAAATTAGAATTTATTGGTAGTAAGAGGAGCCTAGATAAATACTGAAAATAAAATGAGTTATTGTATGAGTTATTGTACATTAGAGTTATTGTAATTTTTTTTACTCATTTTAAGATTTTTTTTTAAAGAAATGCAGAGTGGCCCCAAATTTTTTCTTGTGTATGAGAAATATTCGTTTGTCTTCGTTTATATTTTCGATACATATTCAAAAATATTGAACCTAACGTGCTATGGAGGAGTCAGGTTTCATGATGAAAAATTCGCCCAGTACAAGGCTTGAAAAGCACTCAAGTTAAAGGATTATTAAATAAGACATCTGAAATTGAATGGAAGATGAAGTGAAGATTAGAGATAAGGAGAATATATAAGGATTGACACTAAATGCAAAAATCTTTATATATAGATAAATCCCAAAGATATAGGTCATAGAAACATATTTGATTAACAGAATCTATGCTTGAATTAATTAATAATGTATTATTTTACCTGTTAATCCTGACTCGTTGCTATTCTATAATCTTTATCAGATTTTTAATAACTTATTTTGTTAAATTTTCTACTATTTTGGCAATAACATTAGTTGCAGTGGGTTTATTAATTCCCAGATGAGATGAGACCTCAACGCCAATCTAGTACTGCTCTTAAATTTATAAAGTCTAGGTAGCATAGCGAAGAGATCATCCGAACAATTACCATGAGAGTATTTATAGAAAAGTGCATAGAAGGAAACTTTACGGCTGTGTGAAAGTGACTGTATCCCAAATGGCAGTTCAGGACCCATAATATTGCTCATTCTCTTTGGATTTTATCAAGGATCTCTTTAGATATTATCTGTACAATTTTA